TCCCCCCCCGTAATTTTTAAATCCTATTTAAGGCTGGGGAGTGAGATAATCAGGATCCCTTCTTTTCTTTGTGGAATTCCTGCCCAAGATAACTGCTGTCCTAGGGCTGAGCAGGGGAAGAAAGGACTGGACTCAGGCTGGAAAAGGTGTCTGGCCAGTAAAAGAAAAGCTTAAAATAACATTTAGGGTGAGAAATTACTACTTGTAGCCAGTTTCTTTAGTGTATTAAGTGTGGTTTGTGTGTCTGTTTTATTTTCTTGGTGATCTGCTTTACTCCATGCTTCCTTAAATTCAATTAAAATCTATCTTTTGTAGTTAATAAACTTGTTTTATTTTCTCTAAAACCTTGTTTGTGGAACTCCTAACTGGGAGCAGGGTAGAAAGCTGTGCACACCTTCCTCCACATTGAAGGAGGAGGTGAATGGCCTGTGCTAGGCCTGAACCAAAGCCTTGCTCTGCAGCCAGACTGAAGAGCAGCAGACATTAGTTGTAAGGCCTGGAGTCACATACATTCCATCTAAATTGTATAAAAAAGTGTTATACCAGGCTGTGAGGAGAGGACTTTGTCCTGATAGCCCCCGCTCCCTGCTCCCACTGTCACCAGATAAAGAAACAGATCTCAAGATGGGTAAAGAAAACTTAAGTCACACCATTCTGTCTGGCAAGAAACTGCTTATCAATAGAGAATGTTGGGAATCCTCATTCTATGATCATTGTCACTCATTACACTTTCCTATTGTTTGATTTGTGATCTCTGTCTGGTTTGTAACTGTTTCTGTCTGCTGTATAATGAATTTTGCTAGGTGTAAGTCAATTAAGGTGGTGGGGTATGATTGGTTAGATAATTTTGTTCTGATTGGTTAGTAAAATTATACTAAAATAATTGGTTAAAGTATAGCTAAGCAGGACTCAGGTTTCATTATATAAACTGGGGTCCAAGAAGAGACCAGGAGGAAGAAGATGGGAAGTAACAGAAGCAGAAGGAAAGAAGAAAAGGCTGGAAGAAGACCAGAAACACCAAGAAAAAGGGGAAAACCTGGAAAAGAAGAACTCACCTACGAGACAGCCTAAGACCAGTTGCCCCCCCCCCACACCCCCCCCCATTCCCCCCCTTCCCCCAAGCCCCCCCCCCCCCCCCCCCTTTACTATCCTTGATGCCCCTGCCCTCCTGGAGCATCCTGGACACTGCAAAACAGATGTTTTCTGGTGGGCAGAAAGCACTGGGAGGGAGGGGGAGGAGTTAGTCAGCAGAACTGCCAGTGGACAAGAGGCACTGCGGGGAGGGGATAGAAGATTGAGCATGGCTGCCAATAGGTGCTGAGCACCCGCTAACTTTCCCCATGGGTGCTCCAGCCCCAGAGCATCTCTGGAGTCAGTGCCTCTGGGAAGAACAATAGGTCTCTAGAAGATACTAATCTCCCACCTTCCTGAGAAGCTTTCTGGGAGGCTGCTAACAACCTTGACTCAGGACTGTTTTGACATTGCAAGGTCATGTGATCATGTCACTTGGCACTGGACTTCATCTTGGACTGCTAGTATTTTCCCACTAATAGGGAGTAGGGAGCAAACTGGGAAACAAAGGATTCCCCCCCCCCCCC